AACCTAGAAATATAGTAAAAATGCTGAATAGTACTCCAGCGTCGCGACATGCCGATGTTGGTACGAGTAGGTTAGTCTACAAAACGTCGCCTAAAGTAATTGATTTTACCCGGCAGAACGAAAGAAGGAAACTCCGCTTTTCAGTTGTCTCAGGCTATTGATTTTTGACAAACAATGACCTTTCAGAGGTCAAATTGCTGTCAAGAATATGAATTGGCTGCTTCGCAGCAATGATTAATTTATATGATTGTTATTATATTGATTGTTTTTTAAATGATTATTATATCATTGAATAGCAAGTACCTGTACTGTAATTAAAACAACTGTCCTTAGTTGGACAGCATAGGGCTTTTTTCAAGTAATATATTCAACTACAGCATTTCCTTTACCTAGACTGATAAAATGTGAAGATGGAGCAGGCTTTGCTTAAAAGAGACCGGTATCACCACATTAAAACGAAAACTGGAAGAATTCTGCGAGTTGTACGTGAACATTATTTGAGGAATTCTATTGATTGCAGTAGTGATATTTGCACATCAGGATGTAGTAGAGGTGAGGTCTATATATATATATATGTCCAAAGCTTGTCAGATAGATGCTACCTTTTACACCGCAAAATTACAGAAGGTCAGATGTGATTTCCATACACACAAAGGGGTCCCATCTTGGGAGAAACCACTTCAAGTCTTTTAAAACTGTATTAAAACATGTTAAAACTGTGGCCAAGGTGATATAGTATTCATGGCCAGCTACCTTCAGGGAGAGAATTAATAATAATATAGTGAAAATACAGTATGCAAGTGTTAAGAATTTATGGGAAATGGGTTCCCAGGAGATTTTTGCTTGCTTGGTGGGAATTCTGGAAACTCCCACTACAGAGACCCCTGAGCGCGCGCACACACACACACACACACACACACAAAATAGACTAAAAAGTGATTTCTAAAACTTGTTATGCTTTACACTAAGCTTGTAGCTTTTCTGATTATTTGCTTAATTTTCTTTCATTTTCTATGATTAATTTCAAACAACCACAATGGATATAATAAAAATTGCTGCTTTCATATTTTTTATTTATTTATTTATTTATTCAGGTATAAAAGGAAATATACAAACAGCAGCTAAAGGCTGAAATTTATGTATTTACAAAAATAGAATATATTAAAAATGCAAGCATATTAAAAATACTATATATAAAATTGCAACAAGAATGGACAAAACATTAAAATACATAAGAAAAATCACATTAAAAAAATTACTAGACTCAATAATAACACCAAAAGATTACATTAATGACTTCAAAATACAATCTATAGAAAATTTAAATATATAAAAATATGAATTTTTTCAAATTAATAAATTGTTTAAAATACAAAATCAAAAACACAACAAATATTGCACACAAAAACCACCCATAGAAAAAAAAATACCCAAAGAAAAAACTTTTTTGTGTTTTTAACCTTCAAGTGAATGTTTTCATTTTGTATTCAAATATAATTAATGAATGACTACACATTATAGTCAAAGCGCGAATTTCACTACGCAATTATACATTATAGTCAAAGCGCATGGATATGATGCTAACCAACTGTAGGTAAAATGCATGTAGGTTATCAGTTGTGAATCTATGTGTTTGCTAAATGTTGATATAAAAGCTGCAAATAGATATGTTTTGAGACAGTCTGCCCTCAATTAATCATTGATTAATCTGTTGAGATTTAAAATGAAAGTACCTGAGTATACTTATCAGGCACTTTAGTCTGAAATAGTCCCAACAATACCAGTGATTGATTGATGAACAGATTGATTACATTATCAAACATATACTTACCTGGCAACTTTGTTGGTGTCTGATATGCGAGACAAAAATAAAGAATATATAAATAGAAAATGTATATAGCACCCTCTATGTTCTTTGTTTAAATTGTAGTGGAAGTGCTATAGATGGATTACAGTCCTCGTTCAGTATAGCTTTGCTAAAAGGAATTTATATGGCCTGCATTCAAATTTTAATGATGAATTCACTTCATTTTCAATTTATGAATTTCAGGATACTGTTGGGGCTACATACATTTTTTCTTTTATAAACATATTTATGATGCATTGAGATAATACAATGTAGGCGCGAGACATACAAAGTGGATGCGTATGCGTGAGGCTTGTGTAGAGTTGGCAGGTGTGTACAAATATCTAATGCTATATATTTGGCTTTAGAAAAATTTACTGTAAAATGAAAGCCAAAGTGAATTTTTGATTTAAGACCGATGGCCTCACCCAATTTTTGATGGTCCCAGTGTGCCTCCAAAACCTTCATGCCCTGCTTGTATTTCACTTTATTCTGAGTTTTAGTATTACTTTTAACAGATGATGTCCGGCTGTAAAAAAGCGAAGTGTTTTCTTCCAAAGATGGTTGGCGGGCCGCACACAAAGGGTTTTTAATTCATTTTTGTGGGCCGCAAAAAAGTCACTGTAGGGCCACATGCGGCCCGTGGGCCGCACTATGTCCACCTGTGAACTACAGTAATACTGTAAAATCTTGAATATATATATTTTTTCTTTTGCAACCTTTTGGATAGGCTTTTTTCGAGATGGCTTCTTTTCGAAATTAACATAAAAAAATTAATAGGGCCTCTGTCTGTATCATGTAGTGTACTGGCATTAAATTACCTAAACTACTGTATAAACCAAACGTGTTTTTAATTTATTTTGTTTGTTTAAAATTCATGTACAGTGTACAGTACTATACAGTATGTACTGTACTGTTTCGAAAAGAAGGATATGCTGTTGTGAAAAGAAACCCATGGGCTTCTTTTTGAGGTCCAGGCTACTTTTTCAAGCTAAAGAGAGGGGGGCTTCAATTCGAAATGGGCTTCTTCTCGAGATTAAGCCCATTGAGGTTCGATTTGAGGTTTTACGGTATGGTCTGTACTTCTAAATTTCAGGTAGTTCAAGTTTACCCTCAGATGTGACGCATTATCTGTTCCCGGATGGTGGTATCTGCAAAGATTTCATTGAGGTTTTGGAACTTGATGATTTTAAGGGCATCACTTTTACTCAAACCTCAGTCAACAATGTAAGTGAACCATATGTAAGGCCCTGTCCAGTTTATCAAATCTTCAAGAAACTGTTGTATGCCAGTATAGAGTCATGAGGTCTCACCACAAAATGAGTCTCATAGAAAATCAAAAATTGAGTTTATATTATATTTGGGTAGATCACATTGTAAGCTTAATTTGGTATTTGAATGGCTTCCTTATGATATTAAGATCCAGATGTGAGCATTTAAAGTTCAGGTGTATGAAACCACATTTTGAGAAAATCAGCCTTAAAAAATAAACTAACCTGTACAAATAATAGGACTAGAATTACAGAATATTTGTAGAGAACACTGTTTTAGTAAGAAACTTCTCTTAAAAAGTATACAATCATAAAATATAAGTATCAATTTATTAAAAAACAATAAAAACAAAATGTTGTAAAAATTTTGACTTTGAATCTCAATACGATTTCACCAATGATGCCTCTCATTTCGTGGTGTGACCTCACATATATGGTCATGATGTGCCTATATATGGTCATGATGTGATGTCATCATGACTATATTAAGCAATTCACATGTTTTTGTCAAATAAAATTTGATAGTCTGCTGAACAGGGCTTTAGATTGATAGAGGTAGATATGTTACTACTCTTCATGCACTGGTGTATCTACAGGATACGCCCCTCCAAAGAAGCAACCGTTTCTTCTCCTTTTCCCCCTCACCTAAGTGAATGGACCACACCCTGGTAATCTAATGTAGCATAGTGAAAATTTTGTTCTCATTCATACCCAAGTCTCACACATAAGAAAAGCCGTCTTTTGGATGGCCAATAATCATTTAGGATGGCCACTTTTACCTTGATGGCTTGGACTGCTTGGCCTAAGCAGCCCGGCCTAGCCTAGTTGGACCTGGTCTACCTTTGGCAAATTTTTTATATCCTTTGAATGTTGCATATTTTGGACTTTCTAGTTCGTTTTTCTGGCTAAACCCCTGGTAATACGTATATATTGTCACTTAACATATTCAGGTTCTAACTCCAGGAGGCAGAGCTACTGTCAAACGTCTCACACAAAAGGTTAGAGATTCGAGAAATGGCTGTATCTATTTTGCTAATGAGTTCTTTGGTGAAACTTTCTGCGAGAGATCATCTGGAGACAATCTTGAAGTATGGCAAACAAAGTAAGTTTCCTTAAAGTTTTTTTTAAAGTATTTTTATTTTATTTGAATTTTGCATTGGAAACAATGGATATGAATAGATATGTCCAGTGAGGGGATGTATCAACAGGTGCAGACACTTAAAAAATGACACATACTCAGTCTAGAAATAACAGGGGCTAGGTGCACCATGTCCCAGTGACAACCCCTTACACTTTTGAAGCACAGGTTTAGGCAATTCTAAAATGACACATCACTCAGTCACAACACCAGGGGCTAGGTGAACTAGCTTACTGCAGGAACTCGCTCTTTTTGTAGGATATTTTAGCTCTTTAAAGTTATTAAAAATCAGCTGTGTACTCTGGCTCTATGATTTAGATTTCTTATTGGGAAGGCTTCCGACATAATCGAGTATAATCTTCTATCAAGTAAACCTAAAAAAAGCCCTATTAAATTATCTGTAAATTGCATCATTGTTATATAAACCTGCATGCATTCATCCTTCAATTTGAGTTATAAATAAATAAATCCTGTGCAATTGGATAGTTTGTTGGCTGTGATGCATTTATTTTCATGCAAATGTTGGAGAGATTTAAAATAAGAAGTACTTTTAATATGGGTGAATGGTATTATGATTGTAAATAAATTTTCACACTCTCCTGTTTATTAAACAAACCATGGCAAAGGAAATAATTGAAAAGTAAATGAGGTGGAAGCCATTGCAACATCATTTGTTTAACTAATGTTTAGAATTTGTATTGTATCCTCACTAAACAGCGATAAGAACCTTCACTGAGAAGCTTGAAAAAGGTGAATTTGCAACAATACAAACAAAAAACAAAAAAGTACATTTGCCAATTCACAGAATTTTATAATGTCGGTGAAGTGGAAATTATTGCAACTAAATCTTTATGTCCCTGCGTATTTAAACAGTGCCAAAGAAAATACTTTGAAATTAGATGAGGTAATTGCGACATCATAATATGTAAAATCCATGTCATAAAGCAAGTTTATATCCTTTTTGTCTATCTACAGCGTCTCAAAATTCTTTTTAAATGTTGTCAATTAATATTTCATGTAAAAGGGCCAATTAAAGATATACTGTCTACCTACAGCATCTCAAAATTCTTTTAAATGTTGTCAATCAATATTTCATGTAAAAGGACCAATTAAAGATATACTGTCAGTCATGAGGTAAAACAATTTTTAACATTAATTTCACATTTGAATTACTTAATTTGTATATTCAATTAAGTTATTAACTACAAATTAAAAATATGAAATAGAAAAAAATTCCCCCATCAATTTTCAGATAGTTAAATGATATATTTCCTCTATTCATTTGCATAGATCCTTAAATTGGCTGGTAATCAATTTAAAGATTTCTGTAGTAAAATGTCTGATTGGCGAAAACTACTTTTTATCTGTTTCTCTTAGTAAGCTGATAATTTATTTGGTCCTTTTAAGTATGGGCCATTAAAAATTTTATTTAAATTTTTGAGGTATTTTCCTGTCTTTTTGGTTGATAGAACAACATCTTTCAGGTATTTTGCCAGGCTGTTGTACAGATTATAATAATATCCTCCATCATAAGATTTGTAAAAAATGTTTGTAGGCTTGTGTACAAGGCGGCTGTGTGGTACTACTATCATTTGAATTGTCAGAAAGACATTGTGATGTTGACCGACAACAAAGACCTAATTGATGAACTGGTGAATGAGACTCCTGGGGTGCATGTGATGTCATTGAGTCAGTATCTGTCGTTGTTTTGGCCAAATTTAACGGAAGCAAAAGACATGTTTGAATCATTAGCAGCATCTTTACTGCTGTCAAAACAAAAAGGTGTGTGATTTGATCATAGTTATAATAATGATAATGATGATTTATGAAATGACAATGATGGTAATATTTTCTTGGTCTTATGATTACTACTACGTCTACATTAGAGCTTCAGAATATTTTTTAAAGCCTTTGGTTTATCAGACGTGTACCAATACCAGACACAGCCAGTAGGCCTATGTTTCAAAATGCATTGCTTCTCTGGGAACCCTTATTAACTTAGCAATGGGACGCTAGTCTATCACAGGTTACTCGCACCTATATTGCTGATACGTGTTAATACAACAATATAGATAAAGTGCCTTGTGTTAAGGACACAAGTGAAATGCACAGCAAGGGATTGAAACCCCGACCTTTTGGGCTAGGAAACTAAATGTTCCCACTGTGTCAAACTGCTTCTACAACAACATGGAGGTAGTACTTCCATGATCACAACCTCTTGCTTTGGAACAGCATTTTTTCCCCCAACTGGACTGTGCCTAGAAAGAAAAAAAAAATATGAGGAATGCTGTGAAAATGGGAAGATACATTTTATTTTTTTTTACTGGCAATGAAGTTATATTTCTTATCTTATTTCATTGTCGGTGATTGTGTATTTATTTTCCAGGTGGGAATAAGCAATATGATAATCACTTTCCACCGGAAGTTCTCCAGATGCATGTGAAATCCTCAGATCAATATTTTGAGGGAATTCTGAATGTAAATAAGCATCATGCACAAAAAGAAGCATTTATTCATGGGTTAGTTCATTTTATTGTTAATTTTTTTAATGTATGTATTTTGATTTAATTCCTGTTCTATCAGATATTCGATAAATATGCACAAATCATTTGATGTAATTTAATGAGGAAGGTGTAAAACAACCACAAAGCAAAATACAGAATACAGACCATTCATTGGTCTTGTAAAGGCAAAAATACAGAGTGCAAGAAATTAAATTGTTCTTGGCAGACCATAAAGTTCTCATTTAACAAAACTCATAGAAATGGTCTTTTCCAACTTGGGGCTCTTACATAATTCAGAGAGAATCAATCAATTGAAATAGAGTTTTTAAGGCCTCAAACCCATTTGCAAAGATATATGCATGTTATAATAATGTCCTGTTCATTCTAAAATCAAGTTTTTCCTCCCACTGTTTCATACCCTTGTGAAGTGGAGCACTAGCTTGGTGGTTAAGATGCTTGCCTTCCAATCCCAGAGCCCTGGGTTCTAAAAACACCCAGCTTATTTCTCACTGCTAAAAACATCATAAACTTCATAAAGTCTCAGATAGAGAATTAGTTTATATAGTGTTATATAGTTCTTGTAATTGATGATTATACATTCGAAAATGAAAGGAAAAATTATTTTTTTTTCATGTATTCCAGGTTTGGTCAGAAAGAGCTAAAATTAGATTCTGATATCTTGGTTTCTGGGATTACCGATCGTAATCGAGCAATTCATGGAGATCGAGTTGTGGTCCAGCTACTCCCAAAATCTCGGTGGAAAGGCAGAATATCATCCTTAACACAAGGTACGAGGCCAAAGAATCTACCGAAGACCTGTCCAGACTATCAAATTTCATTTGACAAAAAAATGTGACATGCCTAAATATGGTCATGATGACATCACATCATGACCATATATAGGCACATCATGACTATATATGGGCATACAACAGTTTTATGTCAAATAAAATTTGATAGTCTGGACAGAGCTGAAAGTCCTGTCCACACTATCAAATTTTATTTGAAATAAAACTGTTGTATGCCCATATATAGTATTGATGTGCCTATACATGGTCATGATGCAGTGGTGGCGCCAGGACCTGCCCGACGGAGGGGCTAAAGGCTCCGACGGGGGGGGGGGCTACTGGAGCGAATCAAGTCTCACTTGGGTGGGGGCCAGGGGCCGCCTAGGGCTGATAATTAATGAATTATGGTGAATTTTTATTAATTATTTGATAGGCATCGAGCTACTATAATATGACTTCATGTAGGCTATGCTTTATAATGCTTCCAAAACCAAAACATTTTATTTTGAATGAAACAAGAAACAAGGAGTATGCAATGTAACCATCTTATTAAGGGAAATTCTATATTTTCTATAGCCCCCAGCCCCCTCTGGCGCCACCACTGTCATGATGTGATGTCATCATGACCATATTTATCCATGTCACATGTTTTTGTCAAATAAAATTTGGTAGTCTGAACAGGGCTAAGAGTCTTCATAGATATTTTTGTTACATTTTGCAATATTTGATGTTTAAAATGAAGTTCTTAGTTCTAACAGTTTTTAGAATAATTTAAGAAGTACAGGTAAACTAAAACAAGTACCATGGAACAATATATAAATTTCTAAAAAAAAATGTACAGTATATAAAGAATAGACCTAGATACGTATAAAAGATTATGGCATGCTATCAAAATAGAGATGCCCTTTAACTTGGGTTTTAAAACTGTATACAGTAATATCTTAACCACCAAGCTTAAAAGGAATAGTAATTTTTGAAAAATCAAACACAGTGATACATTTAATTTATATTTTAAATATTATTTGTAATGTCAAATGTTGATGGTACTGTAATATAATAAATTATTTTTCATTCACTCTCTCTTATCATGTGAATATATTTTGTGTTTTATATTACCAACTAGAACACATATTGCTACAGTAGAGTCATTGATTAATAAAATGTATCTTTAGGCCTATGTAAACATTTATGTCAATAATTCCACTAAGTAGACATTGTTTAATCTTTGACCCTTTTGATCTTTACCCCTCAATAACAAAAACTGATCATTAAAATGCAATTTGTAATTCTGACATAACCACCTGTATTTGCTCTGCAGTATGAATGTTTAGTTAATCAGATTGAGTCTTCCGTAATATCTTCCTATATTCTCCTAAACCCTGCACCACAATCCAAATAAAAGCCAAAAAATATTTGATTCAATTGTTATGTGAATTGTATTATTTCATGACAAGTCAATTAAATCAAATGTATGCCCATTGCTCTTTTGGAGGTCAGGTTTATGAAAATATTCTGAAGGACTGCACAATTTTGAGTAACTTAAAAATGGACCTTAGTTTGAAAAGGTTGTGAATCAAGGATGTATACATACATATTCCATAAAACTAGTTCTGATTTAGAATTATGTGCAATAACTTTCAAAAGCCAACATACCACATATTAGGGATTAAAACATTTTGTATTCTGAAAATGGCAGGTAGTACTGATATTAAACAATTGTAGCAGCATTTAAAAAAAAGTAAAGCTTTTGGAAAAAAAACATGTCACATGACATAATGAGAGAGAAATAAATTTTGCAATTGATAAAAACTATTGATTTCTTACCTATCTACATTTATCTTGCATGTTGGATTGTTGATGTCAATTTCACACTTTTTGGCTGGTATTTATAAGTAAAAAATACAATTAAACAGGGGTGGCACCAGCTTTTCTCTGACAGGTAGTCCATTGTTCACTGATGGATTATCTAAGAGCAAGAGTCAGCACCCACTTCAGCCCTACCATGTTTGATTTTTCCCTGAAAGATTTTACTGATGGCTCCCTGATGGCTGAGCCAAGCCTTTACCAATGGCTAGGCCCAGTCCCAGCTAGCCCTCTCACTGGCGCTACCCCTGCAATTGAAAATAATACCCATTGTTTTGTAGAATGACTCATAAATATTGTTATACTGTATATACCTGTAAATGTCAGTTTGTTTTCATAATCATTTTTTTAGTAAAAGCAAGTGTCATCAATCATTCTTGATGTCATTAGCATTGATCTTTGTACAGCAATTACCTGTCTTGTCTAGACATGTTTGTTATGTATTTTATGTAAGTTCTGTATTCAAATACTTATTTGCTTTCCCAAAGTATATTTACTAACTGCCCATAAAACATTTGAGGGGAAAACCAGTGAAGCAAGTGTGGGCCATATTGCTAGTAATTTGTAGGAGTGGGGAGGTTGGCAAAACCAAAATGGAGGCTGTGATTCTGGCTATTGGGTGACTAATACCCCTTTTACACTGCAAGCAAAATTCCGGATGTAACCCAGATTTTCCAATACCCGGGTTAAAATCTCCCGAGCTGTGGTTAGTGTAAACGTCAAAAAGTCCAACTCGGGTTGCCAAACATTCCTGGATGGACGTGCAGGACGCATTCAGCATAGGACAACCCAGGTGCATTCCGGAGTCGCCAGTGTAAACACCACCTTTGATTCCGGAATTAGGCCTTACCTGGCGTTGCTGTGGTCAGGTAGGCCTAAACTTTGCTAATAGCGGGCTAGGCCTCGACACATTTCAAATTATACCCTTTACACTCCGGTATAGACTTGATATCATAACTACTGATTTAATTTGCATAATTTAAAAACAATCTGCAGGTACATTGCTTCAATGTTGACAATAATTTTGGCTTTGTGACAACGAGGAACTCGAGCGAAGTGATAATCAGCATCGCAACAAAAATTGAGGGCGGTATTTGAACCCAAGTTCGTTGCCGGTGTAAAATGAAAGCATCTCAGGATCAACCCAGACTTTTTCATTCAATGTAAATGGGAAATGCACCCAGGAATTAACCCGGGTCGATTCTGCCCTTGGCAGTGTAAAAGGGGTATTAGTAAAAAAACTACAGGAGGTTACTTTTGACTGTTGTTTCTGAAGTCTAGACTGGGGCAGTGACACCCCCGCAAATTGTATTTTAAGAAAAATAATTATTGTATTGTTGATATATCATTATGAATATGTAGTGGTAAGATTTTAAAAGTATGAGTCCAATTTCCGGGCATCTTGAGGTCCATACTTTCAAAATGTTTGCACCTCAACCATGTTTACACCTCAACCCTAACCATGGTGTGTGGGGCTGAGGTGATGTGGACTCTCACACCAAATTCTTCAACCACCCAGGCTAGATAAAATATGTGTATAAAATAGCATACATCAGAAGACAAATTTTGTTATTCTTGAAAACACATCAATCTTTATTGTATTTTTTTATTGTTTTAATTAGAATATTTCAAATGAAGTAGTAAAGTCAAAATTGGGGATGACTGGGTGAAAGACTGTAGTGTTTAGGCCAGACTATACTGTGCTGTTGGATTGTGGGAGGCCAGGGGGTTGCCATTCTGCACAACAATGGGTGGAGAGAGATGGGAGGAGACAGTGTGGATGAAGTGTCTTGCCCAAGGGTACAAGCCACTTGCACAACTGTTGTGCCAACCGATTTAAAATAGAATCAAAAAGTCTTTAAAAACAGAAGATATGTATCTTGTATTTAAAGTAGATACACCCCCAAATACAGAGAACATGAATTTAGTGGTTTAGTTTTAAATTAAAAATTGTTCAAATTCATACACATAGTAATAAAACATTTGTAGCAAACACAAGTCTATTTATAAATAGGTTATTCCCATGACATAATGAACAACAATAAAAATTTTGCAGTAACTGAAAACAGGTGGTGTTTGCCTTATATACCAGCATTTATTGTGCTGTTTTGTTGGTTCGGATATAGCCCTTGATTGCTGGTATTCGCAAATAAAAATAACAATTGAAACCGGATGTACATGGCTCATAAACAATGTCATAAATATTGTCTGTTTGTTTTTAAAATGGATTATTGGAACTTACAGTACTGGTATTTATTGTGTTGTTTTTGTTAATTCAGCTATTGCTGAACCTTGATATCTGTTGCCCGTGACTATCATCAGTATCTGTCAGATTGTTTTTTGGAAATTTATTAATTGGGATTTTAGTTCCTGTATTTATCATGTTTTTGTTGATTCATATGTTGCTGGCCCTTGATGACTGGTATTAGCAAAGAAAAAATGAACTTAAATTTAAATATCAATGACTCATATATAACAGGCAGATTGTTTTTGGAAAATACATCATCTTGTTGGTATCCTTCATGCCGTAATATCTAACATTGATCTTTGTGTAGGTACCTCTGTTTGTATAGTCATGTCTAGACACGCGTGCCATGTATTTTATCAGTGCAGGTGCCAAATAATGGCTGCTCTTATTTGCCTTCTCAAAGTGCAATTACTAATACTGTACTGTCCTTCAAACAGTTTGAGGAAAAACAATTGAAGGAGATGAGGACCATTATTGCTAGTGAATTTTGGGTGTGGGAGAGGTTGGAGAAATCAAAGTGGAGTCAAAATTACTGGGATTGTAACTGCTGGGCAACTTAATTGAGGTTAAAACTACAATTGAATCTAGATAGAAAATGTGTATACAGTATAGTTCGATATAGTATAATATGACATGTTCGATATTGTATAATATGACATGTTCGATATTGTATAATATGACATGTTCGATTTTGTATAATGTGGCTTGTTTAATATTGTATAATGTGGCATGTTCGATATGGTTTTCCTTTTTAAATGTTTTAACTCACTTTTTACTTGACCTCTTTTTTTATTTATAATAAATTAACACCGACCAAATTCACGCAACACTGGCCTATTCTCTGTGCCCTAGCAGAGTCAATGCTACCAAAAACATCTTTCTGACCACCCTCTGTTCTCTTGCCTTCTTTTTAATTCATTTGAATTGGTTCTTTTTTATTTTAGTTAAGTTTCTGAATATTTTTTTTATGTTTGTTTTTGTTCTACTTTTTTGTTCATGTGATCCACTAGTGAGATCAGTGCTCCCTCACTGAAAGTGTTATCACGTTAAAGGCAGAATAAATAAATAAACAGTTTTATTTATAGACTCTCCTATAACTTTACCATTACACGTAACAATACCACTATAGACATTTTTTTTTAACAGTATCTTTTACGTTCAAAACCAAAGTTGCTCATTCAGTATAGGCCTTCTTTGAATTTAGATAGGAACTAACAAAGTCCGGTTGATTTGTTACCTTTAATATTTATATTGTATGTTTTGTATTTTACTACATAGGTCTATTTTTATAAATTGTATGTTTAAGACATCCTGTGTGGGCAATACTGCTGTTGGATGTAATGGAAATAAAATTAAAATAAAATCAGAAGACAAAGAATTTATTTTTGACAACACATCACTCATTCTGTATTTGTTTTATTGCTTTATGTATGCTACACATGTAAACAAGTGATTTGAAATATTTCAGACATCTAATTTTATTCGTTGTTAATAATTAAAGATTACTCTCTGGGTTTTCATTTGAAACAAAACCATTGAAAACTCAATTAAAACATTGAATTCTTCATTTCAAAGTAAGTTAAAAACACTGGTCAGCGTTTCCTATAGATTTTAGATGTTTTACTACAGCAATCAAAAATTGACTACCTGTCAGATTAAAGGTTAAAGAATGCAGGAAAGGTATGGTTTATGCATCCGTTAGGAGTAAGGAAATGACTGTCAATCAAAAGCAATAACCTACTTTAATATACAAATTAAGTGATAACATTAATAAATTATGCAACTCAACACGGATATTACTATACTATTTTAAATATATAATGAATCTAGAATGAAAAACATATATGTTTGCAACATTAAGAATAAGACACTTATGAAAGATGTTTAATAACACATTGAGGCAAGACTCTGACATGGCACTATCTCCCGATTAATTAATTAATTATTAATTAATAATTGCAACAAAGTAATTGACCTAGAAATCAGGTAAGATCTATTTTATATAAAAAATCATCAAATATTGTCTAGCACTCACAGGGGGCTGAGTTGGGGTTGAACAACACAGTTTGTGCCCAGCTTAAGAAAAATTCGCCAACCCTCCCAATCCCCCTTCCCTCCCTCAATAATTTTAGGGTCTGAAAAGCTAAAATAAAATTAGCTTTAGGAGAATTTTTCTTAAAAACCAAACTTAAAACTATTATGTCTTAAGTAAAAATAGAATAATTTTTAGTTTACCTGTTTACATTAATATATCAAAAGTCAAAAGAATGATAAACAATAGCCAATTTCCTTGAAAAAACAAGTCTTTTACAAATTAAATCCATCTAGTTGTAGGTACATCCTATGCAGTGGCGGACCATCAAGGCAAGCAAGGTATGCAGTGCATACCCTGGCTAAAACAAATTAAAAAAAATATAGCAGTACAGTTTCTCCATTTTATTTAGCATTTCTTAGTCGGGATCTTCTTATATAAACCTTTTAAATGGAATGCTACAGTTCATTGGAATAGAAAAGTTTTTCAATGTTTGGCCTACTTTGGTACCTATGATATTGTCACAGTCGGGCCTATCGCATCGTACTCTAACTGCTTAGAATTTCCGCATGGCTGGTCTTCGATATCAGCCAATCACGTATTCAGTGAGTCAATGAAAGTCAGAGCATACCCTACAACGCTTAAATTTGCTATTGTGACAACTGTGTGGTGGCGTCGGAATAGCCAATTAATTTAACACTGGAATGGAAGCAGTGCTTCCAAGAGTATGTACGCATGCTTTTCTTCTCACAAATTGGGACCTCCACTGCCGATCGGGTATTCTATCTATATGCCTAATCTAAATGGTTAAAATTTAAATATATTTACATACATATGACCGGTGTAGAAAAACTTTGAATTATTATTTAATTTGAATTGAAATTTGTTTAATTACTGGAATAAGAATTCTTTTGAAGAGAAGACAACTATGCCGGTATTAAAAATAACATACATTGTATTTTGATTATAGAACACAATCTGATTCTGAATAAGTAGTAGGCTTACAAACTTTTCCTCTCACAGGCCCTAGCATCAGTGGCGTAGGGGTCTTGAAATGGAAGGGAGCTGATGGGGACAGGAAGGTAAAGTGGTTGATCTGTGATTAGGTGAGAGGATAACTTGCAAAATAAGGTGATATGAGGTGATTTTTAACTACTTGAGCATGATTTGTGACATCTAGATGTGTATAAGAGACAGACTGGGGAATGGGCGAGTATTGTTTTTCAGGGGTAGGGGGAGGAACGTGCGCGCCCCTTGCACATTCTAGATATGTCAATACCTGGCATACCCTGCAATTTACCCTACGGTCCGCCACTGATCCTATGTCACTGTTATTTTTGAGATAGATATTGATAATATTTATAACTTCTGAAATTAACTTATATTGATTATTTACACTGTACTTAGCATCATACAGTATGCTTCACTAGTTGTAAATTTTAACAGATCCTTCAATCTGCGTCCTGTCAATTGGACATACCCGCTGTGAAAGTCTGTGATCGCATTGCTCACACGTCGCCAGATGTTTACATGGCATATACGCTACACATTTAAGTCGTTCAAGACAAACAACGCATCGTCGTGCTTTCTTATTCTCCGAGACTTGTTCCTCGAGGTGCTGTATCTTCCTACATTTTTCCCTGCATTCATTTATATGCTGTTTGTGATCTTCCACCATCTTGATCACTAAGTTATTGTATTCTTCCTCTTGTTGACCTACTTTTTGAGAGATGGTGTTCATTTTTAAGTTTATGTTTTTACGTTCGCCCTCAACTTTATTCAGATCGCATTGAAGTTGTTGGATTTGCATAAGCATTTCTTCTCGTTCCTCCTTCATTTGTTGTTGTAACACTCCTTTCTGTCTTTCAATGTCAGTAAAATATTCATCAAGCTCTCGAAGTTGGTGGCGTGTGCTTTCGAGCTCAGCACATGTTTCCTTCAACTGCCGTGAAAGTTGTCTTTCAAGCGTTTTATTTTTTTGGTTTTCTCTCTTCACAGTATCTAACTGCTCTTTCAGTACAGTTGATTCTTCATTACTCTGTAAAATATCATTGAGTTTAATAAGTTCCATCTCTAACATTAAATACTCACAATTCTTACAACTGCGTTTTATACATCTTTGGTATTTCTCATTATTACCAGAGTGATCTTTTCCTTTGCTGAGTTCATTTCTCAGTTGTTTGTTTATGTCTCTAAGGCTGAATATTTCGTTTTGTGCCTCTTGAATCTGAGCCTCTAAGCCTTTGATATGTGTTTTATAGGCTTGGCCCAGTCCGGTGACCTTTTGAATTCCTTCACGAATTCCCTCGATCTCTGTTTTCAGTACATTGTTTTCATCCTCGGCCTCTTCCACTCTTTGCTCGGCTTCTTCCACTCTTTGGTTGAGCTCTTTGATAACATTGACTGCTTCCCGAACAATTCTCACTTGGTGATTGAAGCAGTCTTTGGATTCCAATTCACGGTCAGTTACTTGTTGGTTACTTAATAGGGCAATAATTCCATGGCGAACCTTAAGCTCAACTACAAGTTTCCTTACGGTGTTGCGTAGCTGAGCTCTGGAAGCATTGTTGATCTCTTCTTTTCCCTCTTTTGTGGTCAAGTCAGCAAATCCAAGGCCAGTTTGTTGATATTCCAAAGAATTTTTGTTACCCATTTTAAGAGAATCTCTTGTTAACTGTAATCTGTTGAGAGAAAAAAAAACAACTTTAATTTAATTCAACTCGCTTCAAGAACATATAAAATATTATGTGTAACAAACATTAGAAACATTGTAATTTATAACAAGATACATACAAAATGTGATTTACAATATTTAGTTTGAGTATGTTGCCCAGATTGTTGTCAGACACTGCTTTTCCGAAGAGCACTATGGTCGCACTATAATCCAATGAAATATTATGTTTACAAACTCAAAATATTAGTTCCTGATTCAATGCTAACCCAAATAGACGCAACTGATAGCGGTCATGTGACAATAACTTGGTGAGATAAAGTCTATGACTTTGTTGACACTATGAAATTTTCTTTGACAAAAAACTCATTCTACTATGTGCCCATACATAGTCATGATGTGCCTATATATAGTCATGATGTAATATGATCATGACCGTATTTAATAGGCATATTGTTAAAATAAAATTTGACAGTCTGGCAGTGGCGGATCGGGGGAGGGGTGAATAGGGTGGCTAGCCACCCCCCTTCGTTTCCCGTGAAAAAAAAAATAATGGTCACTCGTCTTGCGTGTGTGCTTGTCATGTACTCTGGTAAAACATACACTTTCTATTTTAAGCTTACTTCTTTTCACCTAAGATCATCCAGCAGTCCACTAATTCCAAAAAAATCTCAAATGTGAGGGGACACCCCTCCCAACACCATCCCCCGCTGCTCGGGCCTTCTCACCTCCCATTATCCACCCCCTCCCTCCATTGCTAAATCTTAGATCCACCACTGTCTGGGTAGGGCTTAAAGCCAGGCATACACTGAGTGCTTTAATAACTACTTCAGAAAAAAACTTCCAGTTGTAGCTTATATGTTAATTTTCTGCAAAGTTCAGTAAAATTTTGACAATTTTTTAACTGAAATAATTATTAAAACTTGCAGCATATACGGTATTAGAAAATTCACATAAAAATATTCGCAAACAAAAATAAATAATATAAAAATTGAAAATTACAAGGTAGGCCGACAGTACTTGTCAAATATGAATTGTGGATTTCCTGTACCATTGTGCAATAAGGAATTTGCAACCTAGCTTTTTTACTTGACCTAAGGCTGATATTAGTAGTACTACTCTTGATAATAAGAGGTGACATATATCTGTAAGTGGGGGACTTACAGTAGTTTGTCACCAATAGAATGTTAATGAGGCTCTTTTCGATCATGGAAACTGGCTAATTAAGTTTGTTCAATGATAGTAAACATACTGTAGTCATTATATCCCATTATTATTATTTTGGGACATTTATTTTAATGACTTGTCGTCAATATAAATAACTGCAGTCAGACAAATCTGTGTTTGAATTCTTTCTCAAGACGGGCTATTTTGATTTGGAATACCCTTCCAGAAAAAATTATAAATGCCACTAGTGCTAATATGTTTAATCTGCCCTGGAGTGCTACTGGTCCAACCACCCGCTTAAATACACACCATATTAAACGTTGAGGAGCCTATTAGCAACGTTAAGCTAGGGCTTCTAATCCAGGAAGAAGTCTAGCAAGAAATTCCTGGAGTTCAGTAAGTTCATTATTGAGTTGTTTTTTTTTTTTTGTATTTTTATTAAATTTTTGAAAGGAGAGCTGTATACAACAAGCTAAATTTATACTGACACACTCCTGCCCTCATTCAAATCCTTGGTAATGATACATTTGAAATCCACCCAATATAAAACTTACCACAATTTTTAAAGAAAAAATTCTTGTCTTCAGAAACATAGCACATCGTTAACACAGAAAGTCCAGGATCATACGAAAACCCAAAGGAGAGCATGCATCAAAAGATACAGCGTCATCAAAAATAGTTTGAATTTTTCGCTTGTAGAATTAGAAACTACTGCCTACAGATTTATGCTCTACACCGTACAAAAAAATTCACAAATGCAAGGAATGTTATCAACATAAGACAACTTTTGGCTCAGCTTACCTAAAAAATTAATGTTGCTGCTACCACATTTTTTTACCTTTTGACACTAGATCAACATATCCCCATGTGAAATTATTATCTGGTCAACAAACAATAGCTGATGGCCAACAAACAGAAACTGAAACAAGTCATTTCCCCTGTACTGCACACACAGACACCTCCCCTGTACACTTGAGACAGTTCATATGTACAATAAGAGAGTTCACCTCATAACCCTTACAGTTTGTCATCTTGTTTCCGTCTAATTAAACTGAACTTTATATAACCGATGCGAAACAGTGTGAAATGATTAGGTTTTTGGTATAGCATTGCTTGAAGGCATATTGCCAAAACATTACTACTTAAGTAAATACACCATTTCCGAGCCCTACCACTCCTTAAGTCAAAATTTTCCAAGGGAGGTAAGCAAACTGAATTGAAGAATTTTAGCGTGATTAATAAGTGCTATTGTAAGCACGTGGCTTTTTGAGCGTTGTTTTGTTCGTAAGTGCATGTCTACCTGTCCATGTCAAATTGCATAATCGGCTTTGCAAGGCATCTGTCTGAAATCCTGATGATGAAAGACAGATTCTCACTTTGAATACATCGCTTCCGTCAAAATATGATCGAAAACAATAACAACAAGCTGATTTCATGCACTTATGATTTGAAATAGACTTCACCTGATATAAATAGTTAGTTGACGATACAAAAACATGAAGGTGACGTTCTCAGAAGATGACATCGTAATGTTGAACCCGCTTTCAGGATCTGTCTATTTTTAATTGTAATTGATCCACCATGTATTTTGTATGTGTAGTTACTTACATTATAGCCAAATCATTTGACTGACCTACATATCATCCACTGGTACAGCACTGCCAGCAAGTAATAAAGGCTCATTTGTCTTGTTGGTTGCACTGTATAAAAAGTTATGACCTGGAATCCAGGCTACAGTTATCCTAAACCTAATCATCTAAAATATATTCTCAAAAAAGTCCTTCTGTCTTCATCGAATAAGACAATTCAAATCAACATAGTATTATCTAGCTTGTTGATCATATACATATTTTTTAAATTAAAATAAGTTAATATGTAGTTTGTTTTTATTTTATTTATTGAAGAATCTTAATGACCAGCACTCTGAAAGGTCACCTTCACAAAATATTAAGCACATAAAAATATAATGACCATAGTAGTTATTCATGTTTCTCAAGAAATCCTAAAAATTAGAACATTTTCTCTCACTAAAGTAAGACTAAAACTAACTCTTCTTTCTTCTCATAAAGAGACTTAATTTTACAATTCAATTCAATTCAATTCAATTCAAGTAATATTTATTTCACTTTTGTCATATAATATAACAATTTGTACAGTACATGATGATAATTCATAATAATAAAGAGAATATAAGTACAAGGAGATGATCAATTTGTGAAAAAGGAACTCTGCGAATAAGCAAACTTTTAGTTGCAGAGCCCTATAAATGCAATAGATCACACCTTTTACCCCAGTGAGTTACAGGATGAGATTGAAATTTTGAAAACTCTAATTATTCCCTAATGTAATTAATTATTAATTACCTAATAATACTTACCAGAAGATATCTTATAAATTGTCTTTCTTCTCATAAAGAGACTAATACCCGATTCACACGTACAAAAATCTTACCAAAAGTAACAAAATGTAACCAAAAGTAACATTTTACGGCACGTGTGAAAGTACCTCCGTGTAATATCCTTGTAAAATCTCGGAACATCTCGGTAATCTTTACCAGCCTCGCTGAGGCTGGTAAAGCTTCCGAGATGTAACATGGATGGATCTGCGCATGCGCAGGGATTTCAACACAACAACGATCTACTGTTTCACGGGGTTCTTTGAATTTTCTTCCTGCTGCATACGATTCTGATCCACTAGAAATAGATAGGCCTAGTTTTTCTCAATGATGAATGAATTACCCTTGTTATTGATGTTAATTAGTAATGGTAGAAGAAGAAGATATACATAAAATGAACGTCGGGATGGTGTTAATACTAATACTAGTATTATAAG